GACCCCATTTCATAAGAAAATCCCTTAAGTGGCCAGAAGGTGGCGTGAAAGTCAAGACACTGGATCCCATAGGGCCAACTGTGGGGTTTCATTCCCAGACCTGGCATATTGAAAATCACACTGGGCCCATGTGAATGGGTGACCAAAATCCTATGAGAATATAAGAGGAAGGACTGTGGCATGACCATCCCCAATGGGGTATAATTTCTCTTTTTTTGTCTCTTTCTGGCAATGCATACATCCTATAGCAAAACAAAACAAAACAAATTCCTGTTTATCTTCCTTACATTATCAATCTCCACTGTAATGAGTTCTTTTTTGTAAAACAAGGAAAGCAACATTTCTAGAATGTAGTTTAGTTGCCCCTTTCACGAGGCATCATATTCAATTTAAATACAGGGAAGGGTTGCGGAAAGTGTACTGAAACATAAACATAAGGGTATAAAAATATTAGGAATGCCACAAAAGGTTATATATGAACCTTCATCATATGAGGTAGGAGAAAAAAAATAAGGGTTGTGAAAATTCCTATCCTGTGATAGCGCATGTTTCAAAATGTCAGAGGCAACTGAAAGGGGAGAACTAAAATGGCTCCAAAGGGTAGTGTATACATTTATCTTCTTGATATACCAGTGCCATATAAATAATGGCCTTCAATACATGATAATGTCATTTATAGTCAGGCTCATGGAAGTTAAATAAGCCTAATTACTGGGATTCAAATGTGAGAGGTCTTCAAAATGTTCATGGAAAATTAGTATTATGAAGCCAGTAGGTGGCATGGTGGTTAAGGGCACTGGATTCCCAAATGGCTGACCGTGGTTTGAGTCATGGGCCTGGCAGTTTGCCTTCTCATTTTCCCTCTCCCTCTCTCTCTCTCTCTATCCCTCTCTGCTTAAATAAATAAATAAAAGTTAAATGAAATAATCCTAAAAAATTAGTATTATGGGGACTAGCAGTTAGCATAATGGCTATGTCACTGGACTCCCACGTAGTCAACCGTGGTTTGCGTATCAGACCCGGTGGCTTAAAACTCACGCTGGGCGCATGTGCGTGCGTGCCCATGATCCCAAGAGGAGAATGGAGGAGAAGGGATTGCGGTGTGACCATCCCCCCTGGGGGGTGATTTCTCACTTTCTGTCTGTCTCTCTCTCTCTCTCTGACTGGCGAGCGCATGCACTCTACACAGCAAAAAAAAAAAAAATACAACCTCAAAAAAATTAGTATTATGGGAAAATTGCATGGATGTCAAAATTTGTTTGTACCAAAATGAATTTGTGCTTTCAATTGAATATTTTCATGAACTTTCTGAAGTACTCATTCAACATTGCCTTCCAAATTTATGTGCCAGAACAAAAAGTAATTTGTGTTGTTTGCTGGTGGGATAGGAAGACGCATGTTAAGTGGAAGCATTTTATTTACTTAGTTTTCTTGGAGAGGTTTTGGCTATAGGGCACGTGCACTCCAGAAAGACAGAAACAGAAAGCAAGAAATCACCCCCAGGGGGGATGGCCATTCCACAATTCCTTCTCCTTTCTCTGGGGATCTTGGGTGTGCAAACACACATGCACACACACCCAGTGTGAGTTCAAGCCACCAGGTTCAGGACTCAAACTGCGATCAATTACATGGGAGTCCAGCAACATAACCATTACGCCAAATGCTGGTCTCAAGTGGAAGCATTTTAGATTGTTAGTTCTGCCTACTGCTGCTTGACTTAAAAATGAAGTAAAATCTCAAATGATCTTCTCAGGCCTTTTCAAGAGGTCCTTAGAAGTTGAAAAATGCCCTTTTCTCACTACCTGTCATTTAAAACACAAGAAAATCAAAAACTTTTACATAAATCTGCCCTATTTTATACATGATTTCTGTATGAGACAGGTTTTCTTCACTAGATTGTAAGCCTTTAGAGGTCAGGAAAAATGCATCTAAACTCATGGTATGTCCCACATCTAGCACAGCTCCTTACAGTTACTCAATAAACATTCATTAAAATAATGGACACTTTATTGGATTGCTGTTGATGTCTGATATAATGCACATGAATACATTGTCAATTTGTTCTACTTTTTAATATTTGCCATTTGGCATGTGTACTCACCAAAGAGAGTCAGAGATAGAGAGGGAAAGTGAGATACATCAACCTGTCGGAGAAATGGCTATACCGCAGTTACTTCTCCATTCTCAGGATTTTGGGCACACATGCCCAGTATGTTTTTCAAGCCACCAGGTCTGTGACTAGAACTGTCGTTGGCTATGTGGCAGTCCAACACCTTAATCACCATGCCACATGCTGGCCCTCCAATTTGTTTTACTTTTTATAGTTTGTAAACATACTTGTGAGCATACCTGTGATAACTGTCTAAGCATACCTGTGATAATTGTGCCACTTATCAAAAATGTACACATTAAAGTGTACTGGCTCTCCACAGCTAATGTTGAGTCTAGAGCAGCAGTGTCTAGTAGAAATACAATGGAAGCTATACATACAATTTCTAGCCACATTACAGTTAAAAAAAAAAAAAAACCTTAGTGGGACCAGGAGATGTCATAATGGTTACATTGCTGGACTCCATGTGGCTGATCATGGTTCAAGTCCTGGACCTGGTGGCTTGAAACACCAGGCACGTGTGCATGTATGCCCAAAATCCTGAGAGGAGAGAATGGAGGACAAGGGTTGCAGTATGTATAAATAAATAATTAAAAAAAAAAAAAAAAAACAGGCTGGCAGGTGGCATGGTTGTTAAGGAAGTTGGACTCCCATATGGCCAACTGTGGTTCAAGTCCTAGACCTGGCAGCTTGCTTTCTCACTTCCCTCCCTCTCTCTGTCTTTCTCTGGTCAACCTTAAAAAAAATTATTTGTCCTTATCCATATTGCATATGACATAAAAAAAATAGGACTTCAAGCCCAACCACAGGGGTCCAAGCAGTGAGATGCTATTGCATGATAGTGGAATCACATGGAAGGACACAGCTTTGCTTCCATGCTTCACCTGTACATGCTGGGGGTGCCCAAGGGTCTGCCGTCATGTTAGCTGTCTGGAAGACTGTGGGGACGATCATGGCATGGCAAGGATTTCTCTCTCATGAAAGAAATACACTTAAAAAAAAAAAAAAAACTCTCCAAAAAAAGAAAAAAGTAAAATAAAATAATGATGATAAGTAAAATTTTAAAAAGCACTTAGTATACAATCAAGTTTTTAAATTAAGATATTTTATATTCTTTTCCTCATGCTAAGCCTTTGATAATCTGATGTGTACTTTACTTAAGTGGCTAGTGGCTAACATAAAATTTAGGGAACAATTTTGTATTTAGTATTGTACCAATATGCTTACTAGACCCGTTACAATTTAATCTTCCCCAAAATTTTATAAAGAAGGTATCTGTTTTACAGAGTTGAGGATGCAGGGGCTGAGAACAAGAAAACCTTACTCAATGACCTGCTTGTAGTAGGTGCAGCTGGTTTTAGAACCAGGCTTGAGTGTAGCTATCCTATATCCTCTAAGAAGGTCAAAACTTAATTCAAGGTGGGAACCAGCAGTTAGCATAATGGCTGTGTCGCTGGACTCCCACGTAGTCAACCGCGGTTTGTGTCCCGGACCCGGTGACTTAAAACTCACGCCGGGCGCGTGTGCGTGCATGCCCACGATCCCGAGAGGAGAATGGAGGAGAAGGGAGTGCGGCGTGACCATCCCCCCGGGGGGGTGATTTCTCGCTTTCTGTCTCTGTGTCTCTCTCTGTCTGTCTGGCAAGCACACGCGCCCTACAGTGAAAATCTCTCCAAAAAATAAAAAAATAAAATAAAATTAAAAAAAACTTAATTCAAGGTTAGAAATAAAATTTCAGGCTCTGTAAGTGTTACAGTGGGTACCAAGATTAAAGAGAACATGTAATGAAATAAAAATTATTTTATTTCCTTAGGTCTTTAACAACAGAAATTTATTTTTCTTTCTTTAGGTGTGGATTTAGAGGATATATATTTTAAATTAAGATTTAATTTTATTATTATTTTAATTTGGCCATAGAAAGAAAGAAAGCAAGCTGCTAGTTCTGGGACTCAAACTGCAGCCACCCATGTGGGAGTCCAGTGCCTTAACCACCACACTACCTGCAGGCCCCTTTAGAGACTGTTCTTATGGCAAAGCCTTTGTCCTTTTCTGACTATAAGAACGATATGGTAATCAAATTGTCGTCTAGTTAGCTCATTCCGCTTGTCTCTGCTAAGCAAATCATAGGAAAACTCTTTCAGTTGGTAGTTGTAAAGCTGTCTAATTAGAACGGAACTGAGAACTTTTTTTTTTTTTTTCTTTTTTTCGGAGAGGTTTTTGCTATAGGGTGCGTGCACTCGCCAGACAGAGAGAGACACAGAGACAGAAAGTGAGAAATCACCCCCCAGGGGGGATGGTCATGCTGCAATCCCTTCTCCTCCATTCTCCTCTTGGGATCTTGGGCACACACGCACACGCGCCCGGTGTGAGTTTACGCCACCGGGTCCAGAACTTGAACTGCAGTTGACTGCGTGGGAGTCCAGCGACATAGCCATTACGCTAACTGCTAGTCCTGAGAACATTTTGTCTTTAAAGTACACTTGCATTTAGTGAAAAGTTGAGTAGTAATTTCAGATTAAGCTTTTAAAGAAAGATTTTTAAAAATAATTATTTAATTTTATCTTTTTTTTTTTTTTTTTTTAATTTGCTACAGGCCTGCACGTTTATGAGAGAGACAGAGTACTCAAACCATGGTTGGCTCTGTGGGAGTCCAATGCTTTAATCACCACCTCCTGGCCCCTAACAAAAGTTTTCAGCAGAATAAAAAGTAAGAAATAACCTACCAGTTAATAAAGTAACTTAATGGATGTCTGAAGCATTAAAATCATAGTAGCAACATGACACATGTAGATCAATTTAAAATATACTTCAGCATACACCTAGCATGTTCATGTAAACAAATTATAATTTAGAGACATTTAAAAACTGCAAAAGTGAAACACGTCTAATTCAATATGTACCTCAAAATATTGTTAAAAGTGCTCAGCTTTCCAGTGATGTCACACTAGTCTTTCAATGGTTTAATCAAAATTAGACAGCAGAAGTATATTTGTGGTGTTAAATAATATCTAAAGAACATAGACATCTACACTTACATATACTACTATGGAACCGATACAACCATTCTACAAAGAAATTTGACAGTCTGTATCAAGAATGTTAATGTTCTTACCCTTTGAGACTAAGTAATTGCAGTGAAGTTGATCCTAAAGAAATTAGGAATTTGCATCGATTTACAATCAATGATGGTGATATCAATTAACTTAAACAATGGAATAAAGGGTGGTACACTTTGATAAAGGAATAGCGTGTATCATTAAAGAGGATCCATATTTTTGGAATAACATGGGACAATATTCCTGAAACTATATACACCATTTTTCAGTCTTTTCTGTGCCTCTCTGCCCACTTTGGAGGGTAAGATCCGCTGGAAGACAGCATGCGAGCGCTAGCTCTGATGTTAGAACCGCATCAAATCCCAGCGGTTTCGCTAGTTGTACGAGCAAGTTCATCTCTTGCCTCAGTAACCTAGTTGTAAAATGGTTGAACCTAAAGTACCTACTTGATTGGGTGAATTTGTGGAGGTTAGATAAAAGTGCTTCCCTCGCCGCTCAAATACATTTTAGTTGTTACGATAACGTCTTCCTGGTTCTCGGAGTAGTGGAGAATACGAAAATTAGAGTTCAGAAATGTGATGAATTAGGAAAGAGAAAGCCACAGGAGATTCGGTAACGACGATTTGGTTTAATGGGCTAATCTGCCTCTAAACCCTCGGATGTTGATTACGCCCGCCCAGCCGGCGTGAACCGAGCTTCACGTTACCCGCCCCTAAGCTGTCTCGCAGGGGTGGCGGCTCGGAGGGTTGGACTCTATTATTCCAAGAGCTGTTTTACTATCAAGTCCATAGCCCTTAATCTCCCCTCTTTAAAATGATCGTTTAAAAGCATCCTTCCCTGCTCTCCCCACGCTCAACAGGGGTCCCTCCCCTGGAGCTGATAGTTGGGAGGAGGAGGCGGCGTGGCTGAGCGAGTGATCACGTCCCGAAGACTACAGTTCCCAGCGAACTCCGCGAGCTCCCGATGCCCCAGAGGCAGTGCCGGAGGCGGCGGAGGACTCTAGTTTCTGCGGAACACCGCCACAACCTTCTCCCTCTACTCCGCAATATAGGCGGTTACCAAGTGTTGGGGCTTCTCCTCGGTTTCTGAAAAAGGCCGGTTGTTGGTGGAGTCGAACATGCCACAGGAGATCCGCGCGCTGCTCTGTCCTAGGACCAGCAGCCCTACGTGAGGAGGCTCGCGCGGGGTGATGACCGTCACGCCGTGTGGTTTTCCGGCCGGCCCCCGCCAGGCAGAGGCCGCGCACGCGCGACGAGGCCGCGGGGCGGGGTCTGCGGCTCCTGCTGCGGGAGGAGACCTTACGCGGGTCCGCGGCTGTGTAGGTCGGTCGCCGGGCCGGCTGCGCGTGATTGCAGGAGCTTGATGGGGGTCATCTCGACCTCAGCCCGGGAGCGAAGCCTCAGTCACGCCGACGGAGATGGTGCCCTGGGTGCGGACGATGGGGGAGAAGCTGAGGCAGCGGCTGCGGCTGGACGTGGGACGCGAGATCTGCCGCCAGTACCCGCTGTTCTGCTTCCTTCTGCTGTGCCTCAGCGCCGCCTCCCTGCTTCTTAACCGGTAACGCCGCAGCGCGGAGCCAGGCGGGAGGAGGGCGGCTTCCGTCCGAGACTGCAGACGCCTGACCGCGCAGCTTCACGGTGCGGGCCGCCCTGGCCGAGCAGCCGTGGGACTTGGGGCCAGCGGTGAAGCCGCGGGGCTGAGCGAGCTCTGGAGAGAACCTGCCCCGGAGTCGGGCCGGGCGTGGGCGCCCGGAAGTGCGCGGTGCACCGGGCTCAAGGGCTACTTTCTAGACTCCTTTCTGGAGTTTCTGGTCCCAGATTCTTGCCTCATTTTCACCCATTTCTAGAAACGTAGGCCTCTATCATCACGTTTCTATAAAGGTGTGAATCTCTGTCCTACTTAATTTGAGACCATGCAGGGCCGGCCAGTCAGCTGACGGACGAGTCTTCAGGATCTGGTCGCAGCAGCAATTTTAGGCACAATCCCCTCCCCTCAGCGTGTAATCTCTGTTTCTCACAAATACACACAGGCCACACCCCTTGCGGCCGAAGGTTTTTCCCACGTTGTCGTTGGTTGAAACGGTCTTAAAGGTTTGTTGAGACGTCAGAAAGCAGAGTAGAAGTATCCATCTCTACCATCCGTAGAATATTTCTAGGAAAGTCTGATGACGAAAGAAAAAAACACACGCAGAAAATATTTCGAAAAGTTCAAATTGGTAAATTCAGTTGGCTTGTTGAAATTGGAAGGTTCTGCCCTGAAGCACACTCAGGTTTCTTTCATTTGCTATTTCAAGAAATGGTGGTGATAAAGCTTTAGGTAGTAGAGATTTCCTTTAAAATTATTTCCAGATTTGCTTTCAGTGGAAGGAGTTTTGAGACAGTCGTCAGCGACAGCATCTTCATGCCGTGTATTCTGATGTTTTGAACATGAACTGTTTATCTTGAAATAGTTTCTCCCCAGGAATAGCAGCATATAGGAGTGCACGAGGAGTTCGGTTATTTAATTTTGCTCTAGAGAATAATCATTTCCTGTGACTGTTGTAGTTAGGTTTCTTGTTGATTCCAGTTTTTAATACTGGGCTTAAATAGTGGTAGATGTCTACTGAGAACTATGCTTTATGATGGTGAGGTGTTTGATAATGGACAATGGGATAATGACATCCTTAACACAGTGCAAACTGTTTCTTTTTAAAAATAAGTATTTATTTTACTTTATTGTTATTCTTCAATTTGGCCAGAGAGAGAAGGAGAGTAAGAAAGCAAGCCCCAAGGTCCAGGACTCGGAAGGTGGTTGGCCATGTGGAAGTCCAGTGCCTTAACCACCATGCCATCTGCTGACCTGGAAACTAATTTATTTATTTATTTTGATTTTTCCAGTAGGGAATATGCACTCACCAGAAGGATAGAACCACACAAAATGAGAAATCATCCTCCCATGCCCCCTGGGATGATGGCCTTACAACACTCCCTTCCCCTCCATTCTCCTCTAGGGATCTTGGGTGCCCCGCATGTTAGTTTAAGCCATGGAACTCCAACCATGGTCGACTATGTGGGAGTCCAAGGATGTTAACCATTACACAGTCTGCTGTTCTCTGGAAACTAATTTAAGTACTTGCTTTTTGTCATCTCGAAGGTAGTCCAAGCTAGATGAACAGGTTCACTATGAAAGAACTATAAACTTTATGTGGTTATTAAGTTTAGTTCACAGCTTCTTACCCTTCTCCTTTGGAAACTGGGTCAGTTGGGAACCCCAAGGTTGGACAACCATGTAGTAGGAACAGGTTGACCTAGATTTTTATGGTTGCCTACTTATGAAATCATAGCATATAGTGTTGTGTATTGTTAGAAAGTTATAGGATACCAGGGCCAGCAGGTGGCATGGTGGTTAAGGCGCTGGACATTCCCACTTGGCTGACCATGGTTTGAGTCTCAGACCTAATGGCATGTTTTCTCACTTTCCCTCTTTCTCTCTCTGTACCTCTCTCTGGTCAAATTTAAAATGAATGAGTGAATAAATAAAATAATTTTTTTTTTTTTTTTGGAGAGGTTTTCGCTATAGAGCGCGTGCCCTTGCCAGACAGACAGAGAGAGACATAGAGACAGAAAGCGAGAAATCACCCCCCGGGGGGATGGTCACGCCGCAATCCCTTCTCCTCCATTCTCCTCTTGGGATCTTGGGCACACACGCACACGCACCTGGCGTGAGTTCTAAGCCACCGGGTCTGGGACACGAACCGCGGTCGACTACGTGGGAGTCCAGCGACTTAGCCATTTCGCTAACTGTTGGTTCCCAATAAAATAATTCTTGAAAAAAAAAGAGAAAGTTATAGGATACCATCTGATCTATATTCTGTCTGATCTGTACCCTGTATTTGTATTATGCAAAGAAAGACAGAAATACACATAAATGCTATCTCTTGAGTGCTTGAGTTAAAGAGTAAAATTATTTTTGCATACAGCTCTCTACTTTTTTTGATATTTCCCATTTGATCCTGCTGCTATTAGCACAACTGATTTTAAACATCACAGAACTGTCTTGAATAAACAAAGGGCTAGTTACCCTTTTCCAGGAACAATCTTTTGGAAGAGGCAGAATAGTGTATATAGTGTGCTCTAAAGCATATATGTGAATTTTCTCTAAAACTTATGCATGTAGTCATATATATGTGTGTGTGTGTATAGTTTTATTTGTGTCTATATATACACACAGGATGTATGAGGTTGTACACAAAATGTATGGGGTTTTGACACAGGCATTTCACTAGTTAATTTTTAGAAATAATTTTGAAGATATTTCCAGTTTAAAATCTCCACTGGTGAGCCAGTTGGTGCCTCAGTTGTTAAGGCATTGGATCACACATAGCAGACCGCATGGTTGAGTTTGGGACCTGGCAGCTTGAATATCACAGCACGTGCCTAAAATCCCGAAAGGAAAATAGAAGAGATTGTGGCATGGCTATCACCATTAGGGGGTGATTTCTCACTTCCCTCCACCTCTCTCTTTGGCAAGCATAAGCATCCTGGAGCAAACTGAGAAAGCAAACAGAAAAACTCTACTAGCTAGTATAAATTTTTTGAATTATTTCTTTTCTTTTCTTTTTGGAGAGGTTTTTGCTATAGGGCGCATGCGCTTGCCAGGCAGACATAGAGAGACAGAGAGACAGAAAGCGAGAAATCACCCCCCAGGGGGGATGGCCACACCGTAATCCCTTCTCCTCTCGGGATCTTGAGCATGCACGCACACGTGCCCAGCGTGAGTTTAAGTCACCTGGTCTGGGACTCGAACCACGGTCGACTACGTGGGAGTCCAGCAACGTTAGCCATTAACGCTAACTGCCGGTCCTGAATTATTTCTTTTTTAAAATTTATTTTTATTTAACTTTATTGTTATTATTACTATTATTATTATTATTATTTAATTTGACCAGGGAGAGAGAGGGAAAGTGAGAAAGTCAAGCCACCAGGTCCAGGACTTGAACTGTAATTGGCCATGAGGGAGTACAACACCTTAACTACCATGCCACCTGCCAGCCAGTGAATTGTTTATTTCATATTATTATTATTATTATTTTTTGGAGAGGTTTTTTTCGCTATAGGGCACGTGCACTCGCCAGACAGACAGAGAGAGACATAGAGAGAGCGAGAAATCACCCTCCAGGGGGTATGGTCACACCGCAATCCCTTCTCCTCCATTCTCCTCTCGGGATCTTGGGCACGCACGCACGCACGCACACGCGCCCGGCGTGAGTTTTAAGCCACCGGGTCCGGAACACGAACCACGGTCGACTACGTGGGAGTCCAGCAACATAGCCATTACACTAACTGCTGGTTCCCTTATTATTATTTTTTAATGTGCTGTAGGGCACACTTGCTCACCAGAGAGAGAGAGAGAGAGAGAAAGTGAGAAAGCAAGCTGCCAGGTCCAGAACTCAAACAGTAGTTGGCCACGTGGGTATTCAGTGCCTTAACCACCACACCACCTGCTGGCCCCCCATTTTTTTTTTTTATTTGCCACAGGTCAGGTGTACTGTCAGAGAGAAAGAAAGGAAGAGGGGAGGAGAGGGTCAGAGAGAAAGCACCCCCAACATGGAATGGTCACACTGCAAACTCTTCTCCGTTTCTCCCTTTTGGGATTTTAGACTCACATGTGCCCTGTTTTTATTTCAAGCTGCAGGTCTAAGACTTGAATCTTCTGGTTCGCCATGTGTATATCCCCTCATCTCTAAAATGAAGATAATAGTAGTACTTACATTATATGACTATTTTGTTGATTAATTGGCCTGATACCACTTAGAATGGTACTCTGTTCATAAAATGTATTCACATTCAGTTATTGTTTATGTCTCTTTATTACAACACTGTAAGATATACTATAGCCTCAGTGTTTTTGTTTTGTTTTGCTTTAATTGGGATATAACTTACAGCACAGTGGAGAGCACATAATTTAATAGTTCAGTGAATTTTTAAATGTGGCTACCTATGTAAACACCACTTTGGTACAGAAATAAAATATTTCTAGCATTCCAATAGGTTTCTTTGTCATTAACCTTCTCAGTCACCTTATCAGTTTTGCTAATTTTTGGATTTCATGAAAATGGAATCATGTACTCCTCATGTATTTTCTTTCTTTCAACTCTGATTTAGAGTTTACCTATATTTTGTATGTAACCAATTTGTTGTCTTTTGTTATTATGTAGTATTCCATTGGGATTATACCACAGCTTGTTTATCCAGTTTACTATTAAAGGACATTGGGGGGTGGAGGAGATTTGGGTTCTATACAATTTTTGGCTCTTACAAGTAATGCCACTAGGAGTATTCTTTTTTGTGTCTTTTGATAGACAAATGCACTTATTTACTTTGGGTATATGCCCCCAAGTAGAAATGTGGGCATATAGGTAATTTATGTATGCACTTATGTAACTTTAGTAAATACTACTCAACATTTATGCATTTATGTAATTTAAGTAAATACTACCCAACAGGTTTTTTTTTTTTTTTTTTTTTTAAGCTATTATGTTGATTACACTCCCACCAAAAATGTTTGAACATTCTTTTCAGTATTGTCTCTAGGCTTAATTCTTGCTTAGTGGGTATATATTTGGCATTGTGCTTTCTATTTGCAATTTCTTGATGGTTATTATTTTCATTTTACAAATGAGCAAACTGGAAGCTTAGAGTTGTTAAATAACTTGTCCAGACTCATAGATAGTCCCCGCAGAACTGGACTCCAGTGTAAATCATTCTGATTCAGAAGCCCAAGCTTCTAAAAATTAGGCTAAAAAGACATTATTACAAAGGGACCAGCAGTTAGCGTGATAGCTATGTTGCTGGACTCCCACATAGTCTACCGCTGTTCGAGTCCTGGACCTGGTGGCTTGAACCCACACTGGGCGCGTGTGCATGCGTGCCCAAGATCCCGAGAGGAGAATGGAGGAGAAGGGATTGTGGCATGGCCATCCTCCCTGGGGGGTGATTTCTCGCTTTCTGTCTCTCTCTCTCTCTTTCTGGCGAGCGCACACGCCCTATACCAAAAACCTCTCCAAAAAAAGAAAAAAAAAAAGACATTATTACAAACTTTCTAAATAATATTTGAGTGGGGCTAGCTGGTGGCTTGGAAATTAAGGATGCTGGACCCCACGTGACTGACTTTGCCTTGACTGGACTCAAGCCAGGTGTGAGTGTGTGCATGCTCAAAATCCCAGAGGAGAATGGAGAAGAAGGGATTGTGGCGTGGCTCTACCCTCTGGGGGGCGATTTCTCTCTTTCTGATGAACAGGTATGTTCTATATAGCAAAACTAAAATATATATGTATCTATATGTAAAACATGTATATTTATATAAACTGTAAAGAAGTCAGGAGATATATACAAATGTAAAGATGTTTAAAATCATTCATAGGGCTCAGCAGGTGGTGTGGTGGTTAAGGTGGCTGGACTCCCACAAGGCTGACCGTGGTTATAGTCTTGAACCTGGCAGCACTTTCCTTTGCTCTCTGTCTCTCTCTGGTCAAATTCAAATAAATTAAATTAAATTAAATTAAACTAAATAATGACAATGAATAAAATTAAATAAAAATAAAGTATTTGCCCTTGAAAAATAGAAAAGGAAGTCAAAATGTTTAAAAAAAATCATTCATAAACTAGGCCAGCTGATGACATGGTAGTTTAAGGCACTGGATTCCCACATGACAAACGCCACAATTCGAATCCCAGACTTGGCTGCTTGAAAATCAAGCCAGGTGCATGTGCATGTGTTTCCAAAATCCTGAGAGGAGAATGGAGGAGAAGGGATTACAGCAGGCTGTTTCTCCCCCAGGGGGTGATTTCTCACTGTCCTTCTGTCTTTCTGTCTGTGTTCTGCAAATACAAGTATCCTGTGGCAAAAAAAAGAAAAAAAAAATCACTCATATATTTGCCTTTCAGAATTGGCTACTCTCTTTAACATTTTAGCCACTTTTACCTGCAGCTTATAATTTTACTATAAAAGAGACTTTTAAAATATATTTGTGTATATATGTATGCATATATATTTATACTTTAAATCAATTCTTTTATTTTTCACTTATATAAAATTATAATTTTTGGTTTACAAATAATTACTATACATCTTTGTGGGGTACAGTATAGTTTTTCTTTTATTTATTTTTTTGACGTTTTTGCCATAGGACCTGTGTGTTCACTGGAGGGACAGAGTAACAGAGAGAAAGTGAGAAATTACCCCTTGGAGGAATGGTCAGGCTGTAATCCCTACTCCATTTTCCTCTCAGGATTTTGGGCACGTGTGCCGCAACACCTTAACCACCATGTCCCCTGCTGGCCCCTGCAGAGTGATCTTAAGAATTAATGGGAGGGAACCAGCAGTTAGCGTAATGGCTATGTCGCTGGACTCCCACGTAGTCGACCGCGGTTCGCGTCCCGGACCCGGTGGCTTAAAACTCACGCCGGGCGCGTGTGCGTGCGTGCCCAAGATCCCGGGAGGAGAATGGAGGAGAAGGGATTGCGGGCGTGACCATCCCCCCTGGGGGGTGATTTCTCGCTTTCTGTCTATGTCTCTCTCTGTCTGTTGAGCTCACACGCCCTACAGTGAAAATCTCTCCAAAAAAAAAAAAAAAAGAATTAATGGGAAAACTTGGACCAGCTGATGGTGTAATAGTTACGGCACTGGACTCCCTTGTAGTTGGCTGTGGTTCGAGTTCCAGACCCGGCAGCTTAAAACTTATACTGGGCGCACATGAGTGTGTGCCCAAAGTCCTAAGAGGAGAAAAGAGGAGAAGGATTGCTCCATGGACATCGCCCCTGGTAGATAATTTTTCACTTTCTGTCTCTCCAGTGAGTGCACATGCCCTATAGCAAAAATTTCTTTAAAAAAAAAATAAGGGGCAGGGATGGCAGGTGGTGTGGTGGTTAAGTTGCTGGACTCCCACATGGCTAACAAGTCCTGGGGCCTGGTGGCTTGCTTTCTCACTTTCTCTCTCTCTCTCCCCGGTCAAATTAAAATAATAATAAATACAATTAAAAAAAAGAACTAATGGGAAAATCATGATTGATCTATGATTTCTTTTTTTTTTTTTTTTTGGAGTGGTTTTTGCTATAGGTCGTTTT